CTGTTGTAGAATGAGGCTGACATCGGGATAGGGATAAGACTGAGAAAAACTGGATGAAATATGTTTACGACATTGAAGTCTTTGGGGTAGAAAATGTTTTATATTTTAGAGCATTATGCTTATCGTAAGAGTACGGAATGAGAGTTGCAGAGTGGATTATATTTGGGGGTTGGGGGATGAGTGTGTGGGATTGCTACCAATGAGGGAGTTTTTCTTTTGCGTTTGAAGGAGAGGAGCAAATGGGGGTGGGGGGCGGGGGGCGGAAAATGCAATGATGAAAGAATGGAATTCCAAAATCTCTGTAGATGTTCATTTAAATAAAAAATAAATAAATTTTTTTAAAAAGGGGAAAAAATTGGTCTCACATACTCTGGGCATATATCAGGAAGAGATAGTCCCTGGAGAAAGAAATCACACTTGATCAAGTATCAGGTGAGCGAGAGACCCTCAGTAAAATGGACTGACACAGGAGCTGCAAGAGTGGGCTGAAGAGTGGCTGAAATTTCAAGGATGGCACTGGACTGCCATCCAGTGACTGCCACCCAGTGAATGCCATCCAGTGACTGCCGTCCAGTGACTGCCATCCAGTGAATGCCATTCAGTGAATGCCATCCAGTGACTGCCATCCAGTGAATGCCATCCACTGAAGCCACGGGGTTGCATTCTGCACATTGACCCTGTGAATCGAAGCTGCCTCAGTGGCACTAACAACGATGTGCAAATGCAGAGGAATCCTGATTTATATAGAGGTCCCAATATTTTTCTGTCTTGTTAAAATATTCCAGTTACTCTCCTCAGGTGTAAGACTTCCTGGCTTCCCTTCGTATGCATTCTCTATCATGAGATATTGAACAGAAAACTCTGATTTCTTTTTATCAGGCTTTTAACGCTATAGCTAGCTCTGATGGCTAACCTCTTTATCTGCCCCTTCCAAATATATCATTTATAGGAACAAGTGTTCTCAGAGCAAGAGAGATGAATACTCCATTCCTTCCTCCTCCCTGCAGAGTCTTCAGACATCATTGGTCAAGGGGGCCTCATGTGGCCCTGGGTCCATCTGCCTTTCGTGCAGGCATTCTTTCCTATTATTCCTGGACACCGCTATTGAGTTCTGGGTCATTGATCTTCCATAAAGCAGACAAAGGTCTTTTGGAGGTCCAGAAAGCCCTGTTGACTATTACTTGTTCAAGTTTTTATGGGGAAATTCTCAGAACTGGTTTCCCAGACCCTGAAATTCAGATAAAGATCAAGAGCTTTAGTTCAAGTTGGATAAGAATGAGAAGCAATTTGACAGAACTTCTGTTCATTCTGCCCCCACTCCTTTGCTCCACACACCCACCCACATTGAACAGAGATAAACAAAACAGAAAAGGGGATAAATCTTTCCTTGTCTATTAAAGAGAGATCTTCCATTTTTAAGTAAAAACTTCACTTTGTTCTAGGTTTGGGTTTACTAATCCGTGGCCCCAGGCGGTTCGTGAAGGCAAAGAAGGGCCTAAAGTCCACACTGGTTTATCTGAAATCCGTGTTTAAGTCGCAGCATGTGGCAATGTGCTCCACTCTGATGACACTTTTCCTTTCTAATAATAGAGCAGATGAAGTAATATTGCAATTGATGTTCCCGGGCATTTGATTGGATAAATGCATAAACTTGGGGAGGTGCGGGGCGGGGGTGCAGTATGGACGGATCACATTTGTATTCTGGTCCTATCAATGTGCGGGGCCGCGAACAACGTCAGTCGGACCGATTCTCTGCGTCTGCTAGTCCCGCCACGGTTTCATTTGGGATCCTCAAACAGATGAGCCCATAGAGACCAGGGATCAAGGCAGCCAATTAGAGTCAATTGCTTGCTTTGGAGAAGGCCAGCCCTGCCAGGCCTGGCGACCAGGGAGGGAGGGGAAAGACCAACCGAGCGCCGCTGCGGAAAGACACTCAGAGCAAGAGCGACACCCCTCCACTTCCTCCCACCCTCACTGACAGCGCAGGCTTTGAAAGCTGCTCCCAGATCTGAATGGAAACTCAGAGCCGCGGGGCGGCGTGCTCCTTCTCGCCCAGCGGTGCAATCCATGCCGAGCGGAAGGTGGTGCGAGCCCGCGCCAGCGCCCAGCTCCCGGGACAGGGCCGGCAATGCTGCTGAGCAGAACTTGACCGAGCCCCTTCCTCGCTGCTAGTGGAAGCGATGCTGCACGGCACAGCCAGCGCTGCCCCCGCTCTCCTTCAAGCTGAAGGTTACCCACCCGCGCAGCCAGCCCCAAGCCTGTGAGTGGTGCGTCTCGGGTCCCCGCTCGGGCTGCTCCGCAGCGGCGCGCAGGGCAACGACCGGGCCGCCCGCGCCGGGGCGCACTGCACCAGCGGCTTCGGCTTCGTGGATGTGTATGCATGAGTTCTGCACCGAATGGGCGCAAAAAGCGCCCCAGCCGGTCTACCCGCTCTTCCATCTTCCAGATCAGCAAGCCCCCGCTGCAGAGCGGGGATTGGGAGCGCAGGGGCAGCAGCTCCGAGAGCGCCCACAAAATCCAGAGAACCCTGGACGACTGCAAGATGGTGGGTGAAAATTGCACTTCTCTCTCTTTTTTCCATTTCTTTTTTTCCTGGAGGGGGATGGGGGAAACGTGTATATTAACCGTTTGCTTGAGAGTCAACTACTCCCCCACCCTCAGCCCCTCTATGTCGATCACGTGCACAGGTACTATTTTTGAATCTGTAGTCCTCCTAATTCAGGGTGACACCCTGATCGCCATGGCCCCGCGGAGGGAAGTGCCAAGGCGAGGGTCTTGGAGGTCAGTGGCCGCAGGTCATGCTTCTCCAGTCTCAAGAGACTGGTGGAGGCAAAGGACAGTGAACTGACTTGCTCACAGCAAAGGGAGGGAGTGGAGGTGTTGCCTTTGTGGGGAGACAGTAGCAAACAAACCCAAACAGAGCACACAGCGCGCTGCGGTGAGGAAGAAGGTTCCAGCGAGAGGCTGTGGTGGGTCTTCCCCTCAGGCTTCAGTCTCCAAGCCGGATCTGTTCAGTGAGCCAGCAGGAGGTGAATAGTTTGCCTGTTACATTCTTCCCTTGGCTTTCTATATTCACAGAACTTCCAAACCAGACTCTACCACCTTGCAAAAGACAGAGTAAGGCCCATGTCCCCAGCATCTTTCTCTAGAGACTTGGGAGTGGCATGTTAGCTCTCTATATAAGCGGTCTGAAAAGGAAGAGGAAAAGTAGATCTGGAAGGAGAGCTTCCATAGTCAGGCTTGTGCTGAACAAGTGTGAGAGAAAAGGAAAAAGCAACACTTGTCTTAGACAAAGAGATCTTGCTCTCTTTGTGTCTAAAGCTTTAAACACTTTGTAGGCTTCTTATAAATTGGGGAGATTGATCAGGAGCCAGTGAAGACCACTGTTTATGCACTTCTAAGTAGGAAACTTTCCAATGATGAGTGTTTAGTGAAAGAGGTTTTCTTCTTTTGCAGCTTGTCCAAGAGTTCAACACGCAAGTGGCCCTCTACCGAGAGTTGGTCATTTCTATCGGAGATGTCTCGGTTAGCTGCCCCTCACTCCGTGCGGAAATGCACAAGACGAGAACCAAAGGATGTGAAATGGCCCGTCAGGCACACCAAAAACTTGCAGCCATCTCAGGGTAGGAGACTTGTGGCATTACTTGATAAATCATATAAACAATGCATACATGTTGGCAGATCTTTATGGCAAGGAAGGCCTCAGAATGACTTTCTACAAACTTAGGATTTTAGCTGATCATCTTGAGATCAGGGTTTTCTAGAGAGGGAAATGCAGAGTATATGCCAAAGCATAATCCAAAAACTCTGGGTGTTTTGCTTGTATATTGAAGATTTGAGCCACTTAGTGATTTTTTTTAAAAGTTAACTTTCAAAAGACTGGACATGCACTGGAATTTAGGGCTTACCGTTATTTGCTGAATGTTTAATGAAAGTTAAATCATTAGGCTTGAACATTATTTTGTCAGGTGATACTCAATAAAAAAAGTTCTGTTGAGTATACTTTTGCTAAAACTCAGATTTCTTATTTGTACTATCAGATAGACTCAAATGATACTAAAAGGAAGTACTTAAAATAACGTCTTGGTTATAAATGCTCTCTTCTGTTTAAGATAGAAAAAGTAACAAGAAATCTTTCTAAAGATTAGGCAAACTCACTAACCTAAGTAAATCTAAGCTGATGATGCCTCTCTGAAGTATTTTAATTTTTTACTCACACTTTATGGCACAGGATAGGACAGGGTTCTGATCTGTTGTTCACAGGGTCACTATGAATTCACTATGAATCGTTGTTGATGGCACCAAACAACAACTACATAGAGTCCTAAGACTATTTTAAGTGATAAAAGAGTGAATATAAACTTGTCTCTTGAGATTCTGTTTTTTTTCTTGATTCTCAATACTGGGAGAAAAGTTAGCCACCGTTTTATGCACAGTTCCTGTTTTCAAGATAAGTGATGAGGAAACACAGCAATCGTTATATAAGTGCATTACTGTAAGTGCTCAATTCAGTCTGTGTCTTTAGCCCTCATCTGTTTATCTGTGTGACTACGACTTTATCATAATAGAAGCTCAAATTAGTCAGGCACACATGATAACACTGCAGACTGATCACTGTAGGGAACATAACGAATTTGCCAATTTAAAATTGTGACTTTTTGCCATGTTTCATGCCACTATTATGCGTAGTGACTATTAGTAATGTATGAAGTCTTTTTGCCTCTCCTAATAGCTAGTTTACATTTGACAACAGTTCTTTTATAACATGGATAGACTGTACTAATCTTAAAGTGAAGGATAAACAAAATTAAACATGCTCCAATTTAATTGTATAGAAATATTGAGGAGCTTTATCTCCTCTGAGTGCGCCAGTTGCCTAGTATGGAGTGGTAAACTGCTAGCCTAAAAACTGTGCCTCTCTGGTAATTTGAATCCACCAGTTGCTGCTTAGGAGAAGTATGGGCAACCTCTCGTGCCATTTACAGCCTTGGAAATCCAGAAGAGGGGCAGCTATAAGTCACTTCTGAGTCAATGGCAATGAGTTTTCTACCTTTCAGCTTTTAACCATTGTACTGTACTTTTGTCTCTGGAGACTAAGGTGTATCTGATACAGGCCATGGTCTTTGCTATCACTTGTTATGGAGACTAAGGTGCGTCTGATACAGGCCATGGTCTTCGCAATCACTTGTTATGCATCAGAGAGTTGGACAATGACCAAGGAGGATAGAAGGAGAATTGATGCCTTTGAGCTGTGATGCTGGAGAACAGTATTGAGAGTACCACGGACTGCTAGGAAAACAAACAGATTCATCCTGGAAAGGGTTAAACTGGGCGGGTCCTTGGAGGCAAGGATTCTGAGGCTCCATCTAACATACTTTGGACATGTTCTAAGGAGGGACCGGTCCTTGGAGAAGGACATCATGCTTGGTAGGGTGGAGGGACAGTGCAGGAGGGGAGGGCCCTCTATGAGGTGGATTGATTCAGTGACTGGGGTAATCGGGATGGGCGTGTCAGAAACAGTACGATTGGCACAGGACAGAGCAGAGTTTAGGGCTGTTGTACATAGGGGCGCTATGAGTTGCAAGCGAGTCGACGGCACATAACAACAACAACAACACTGTACTTACGAAGAAGTGAAGGGGAACATAGCTGGCAGTGGAAGTAGAGAATTCAGGAACGAAATGAAGTTGTGATAAATCTCAGACGTAGAAAGGTGGAGAAATAGAATATGAAGGGAAATAGTCGTGTATTACAAAACTGGAAAAACAATGACCCAGAAAGAAGAGAAGATTTAGAAGAGAAAACTATATTCAGGATTAAGGGGTAGAATCTTTGTAAGCATTGTGTCCAAGAGTTAAATCCAACTCACAACAAACTTACAACAAACTCATTACTGACCTAGAGATCTCTGGAGCTGATCACTTAGAGGTTTTTTCCAGAAGCTATAATTCGCAGAGGAAGAGGTTGTCCATCTTTCTCTCACAGAGCAGCTAGTGGATTTGAACCCATACGTATGTTTGACATTTGGGTTAGTAGTACAACTCCCTGTAGAGTAGGTCACCAGAGTCCTGTATTGAACTATGTCTAGGAGTTCTTTAAATTGGATCTTAAGTGGGTGATGTTGTGAAGGTTGGTAGAGAAATAATAAAGAATATCAATTCAGACTACTTTCCAGTAAGTTTTACCAGTGCTTTAAGGGTAGAAGGCTGAGAAATCTTTCCTTCTCCTGCACGGTTAACTACCTCTGAGAACACACTGGAGGGTCAACTGTGGGTTGGTTCTGACTTGACAGCACACAATAACAATAACCACTAATAGTTCAGGTAGGAAAGGATCTGAAAATTGGTTAAAAGACAATTTTGAGGACTCCTTCTGGTTTGTGGCCTTTCGCTACTGAGCTGTGTTTTATCTGGTGATTGATGTTAATGAGGGTAGTTTGATACGAATGAGTGAGGAAAATGTAATGCTTTAAGACTGAAAAGTTACACCAACTCCAGAAAATGCTCAAATGCTCTGAGGTAGTGTTTGATTCATTTTACTCTTTAAAACAATAGTGAAATACAGTTTAACCTTCTTTATGAAAAGTGACAGTAATGTATTTGGAGGAAATCCCTTTTGTCTCTGCCATCTGGACTATATTAGTAAAAGGGTTTTGTTTCTTTCTGGTGCAATTTTGTTTCTGACGTTGCTTGTCATGTGGGCGCCTATTTTAAGTTGTATGTGATGGCTGCTAGGGAGGCTATGGGATCTAGGTTAAAGTTTGACCCAGGGATGAATAGTAGAGAAGCAAGTTCTTGGGGAATGAAAAGGAAAAGAACAAATTGCCTAGGTAACCACTTTTTGCCAGAACAATTGATATAATTCATAGACCAATCCTCCAAGCAAAAGATCATTCTCCTTAGACTACAAATGCTTTTTTAGAGGAGTTAACAACTGAAACTTAAAATCATACAGCTAGTTAATCTTGGAGGAAGTGCAACCAATCAGGATGCTCCTTAGAGCAACGACTGGTCACATTTGGCCTCACTCAGTTGGGGCATGTTGTCAGGAGGAACTGACTAGCCCTTGGAATAACACCTCGTGCTGGGAAAGGTGAAAGGTCAGAGAAAAAGGAAGGTGATAGATTGACTATACAGTGATTAAAAATGGCTCAAGCCATTGATAATCGTGAGGATGGTGTAGGATAGGACAAAATTCACATCTATTGTTTGTGGAATTTCTATTATTAAAATTCATAGTTTACTTGATAACACATAACAACAACAACAACAGCAAAGTGCTAGAGCTGTGATTCGAACCCAGATTTGTATCATTCTGAAGTCCACTGTCTTCCATTCAAAAAGGTGTTATGTGTCAGGGAATGAAGTCCAACTATGTGCTGGCACGTGTATGAACTTCAAGACCACTATGTGAAACATGTCAGTCACAAAAGATTCCTTATTATATGATCTCATTTATACAAAATATCCAGAAGAAAGACAATTTAGAGACTCAAAATAGGTTAGTTACCTTGGGATGTGGCCAGAAACAGGGAATACCTGAAAATGAGTTTAAGAGATTGTTTTAGGGAGATGTATTTTCAAATTTGATTGTGGTGATGGCTATAAAACCCACAAGTTGTCGTTAAGTTGATTCTGACTCATCGCAAACCTCTATCTCGCTTCTGACACCGTAAATCTCTCTGGAAGGAGACTGCCTGTCTTCTTCCTTTTGAGTGGCTGGTGGATTTGAGCTGCCGACCTTTTAGTTAGAGGCTACATATGTTGTACACTCATCACCAGAGTTCCCTAATGATGGCCATGTTGTTGTTGTGTACTATCGAATAGGAGCTGACCCTTCAGCATATTTTCAAAGACGGTAAATTTCATGGGAGGAGATTGTTCATTATTCCTCCATGTAGTAGTTTATGGGTTTGAACCACATGCATTTGAGATTGCAGTGCAGTTTCTTAACACAAAGCCACCAGAGCTCCTAATAAGGGCTGAACAACTCTATACATTAAGGGAAAATTAATGTATAGAATACTTAAAATGAGTGAATTTTATGGTATGTAAAGTGGAACTCGATAAAAAGAATGCATTAACACCATCATCATGATTAACACTTGGTCTTTTCATTAGCTTTATTCATTTCTACATGTGTCATTTTTATTTAACGAGCATGATTAAAGAGATAGAAAAAATTAAACTTGACTTTCCATATACCTGCTAAGATGCCAGCCTGATAGACTTGTCTTGTAAAGGTAGGGGAGAGAGTGGATTCAAAGGAATATATCAATTCACTCCTTTCTTATCAACCCAGGCTAACCATAGTCTGTCTATCTGAGGAGGCCAGAGAAGGGAGAGGAGAGGAGTGGTGGGGTGGGAAGATCCATTGCCTTTGAGTTTCTGACTCACAGCAGCTCCACAGGACAGAGTAGAACTGGTCATATGGTTTCCAAGTTTGTATACTCACCACAACAGTAGATTGCCACATCCTTTTCTCTCAGTTGTTGTGTGCCATCAAGTCAGAATCAAATCATAGCTGACCCTCCAGCAGGTTTTCAGAAACAGTAAACCTCACAGAGGAGATTTCTCATCCTTCTCCCACAGAACAACCAGTAGATTCCAATGTGCCTTTGGGA